TTTGCTGGCTATAAATGGGGTCTCCGGAACCAGAGGGAACACACAGCTCTTCCTAAAATTGAAGGTGTTTATGCTCAAGATGAAACTGAATTCTATCTGGGCAAGAGATGTGCTTATGTGTACAAAGCAAAGAACAACACAGTGACTCCTGGTGGTAAACCAAACAAAACCAGAGTCATCTGGGGAAAGGTAACTCGTGCTCATGGCAACAGTGGTATGGTCCGTGCTAAATTCTGAAGCAATCTTCCTGCTAAGGCCATTGGACACAGAATCCGTGTAATGCTGTACCCTTCGAGGATTTAAACTTAACTGAAAAGCAAATAACAGCCCTGACTGGTGTGGCTCAGTTGGGTTGGGGCACATGGTTGGGTTGCAGGTTGATTTAGTTCCTGGTCAAGAAGCAAACGGGAGCCAACTGGTGAATGTTTCTCTCACACATCAATGGTTCTCATCCTCTTTCCCCCTCCCTTCCCTCTCTAAAATAAGTAAATAAAATCTATTTTAAAGAGTAAAAAAAAAAAAAAAGAATAGTACAGGAAATGGAGAAGCCAAAAGAGCTTGTATGTACAACCCTTGGGCATGAACTAAGGTGGGGGGAATATGCTTGGGTGTGGGGTGGTGCAGGGTGGAAGGGAATAAAAGGGAGGAAAAAGGGATCAATTTTATATATATATGAATCTCCATAGAACTCTCTCTGCCCACTTCTCTGTCCTGCCCTCTCCCCTTCTTCTTCTCTCTCTCCACCTCTACCAAGTGAGGATACCATGAGAAAATGGCTGCAACCAGGGAGTGGGCCCTGATCAGAACCTGATAATGCTGACAACCTGATCTTGGTCTTCCAGCCTCCAGAACTGTTAAAAGTAAACGTCTGTTGTTTATAACCACCCCATCAATGGTACTTTGTTACAGCATCCCAAATTGACTAAGTGTCGGTCTCTTTGGGATCTTTGTAAGGCCTCAAAGTTTGTCTCCCAGGGAACCCTAGTGATGCTTCATCTATCCCTGCCCTCTCTCTGGTAACTTAGAATGATCTTCGGACTTCATCAAAAAGCATCTCTTACTTCCCTCCTTGAGGCAAAGAAAGAGAAAAAAAATTGGTCTCAATATTTTACATATGTTATACCTATTCCTTTGCAATGAAGCAAGCATTGCATGATAAAGAAAAACAGGACAAAACCAAAATCTTACTGAGTTACCAGTTTTATATTTTTGAGAAATAATTAACTCAAGGCTCTGCTTGTAAAAAGATGTCAGTTTGGGGGATTGACTTGTCTGACTCAGTTTCTTTGCCAGTCACATCACCTTTCTCGCTCCTTTCCAGCCACCTTTCCAGCTGGCTTCTAGTGTTTCCTCTGGGCACAAGGCATGGGGGACTAGGGATAGCACAGAGCAGGGAGGAGTAGCTACCGTAGGGTCATTTGAGTTCCCCATCTTACAGAGAACAAGCATTGTCTTTGGCGTAGGACAGAATGTGGTCAAATTCCTCCTCATCACTCAGCAAGTGATCCCACTGCTGTTTTTATATTATCCCAGTCATCTGGGCTTACAGGGACACTGTGTAGTGGTTTCGTGGTGTGGAAGCTATTGCTACTTAATTTTTTATTTCTTGAATATCACTTTGTAGTGTCATGATTACAAGGCTTGGAAGAAGATAAATTCTCTGCCTATTTCGAGTATAAATGGGTACTTGAAATGAAACCACCTAGTTAATTTCCCCTTGTTGCTGGAGTAGAATCTGAATCCAAACCACAGCACAACCTAGCCCCTAAATCTCTATTAAAAACCACCTTGGCTAGTCTGGCAAAGCTTTATTTAAAGTCAGCAGAGAATTATAAAGTCAAAAGTGAAAAATGGTACAACCAGAAAGAATCATAAAAATATACTATATCAGTTAAGTGTAGTCAAAGGCAATTTAGTGTGTTCTGGCACCAGTCCTTATTGATGCAAAGAATGTGATGTGTCAAGGGTCAGCAAGAACATGCAGGAAATGCAGAATGAAGGATGCAGATCCAAACTTCACTCTGGAGCAGCCACACAAGGCTGTGAAGGATGCCTCACTGTCTTGCTATTATACCAGGAATTTCAGGGTATATTCAGGGTATATTCTGGGATAATTAGAATATTCTAATTATACATCTATACAACTTTGGTTCATTTTTTTCTTGATGTAGTATATTTTTATTTATTTATTTATTTATTTTTTCAAATACATTTGTCTCTGCCTACATTTTTTAAAATTAGAATTTTTTCATCATGGAGATAAGCAAATTTAGAGGCTGCATGAATTGGTCAGACCAAGAAGGTAGTATCCTTCATCAGTACTTTTTAAGTATCCTCTTTGGAGTCACCACATTGATCTGCTTTCTCATATCTACATTCTAAGCTGTGATTATTTCTGCTTCATCTTGTCCAACTCCCTTAGTGTCTCATTAGTCAATATTAGCTAATCTGATTAGTAACAACCACATCTATGATACTATGCACCTACCATGTTCTAGGTACTGTGCCAGCACCTGTGTGTGCATTTTCTCACCAATCCTCACAAAAACCCAACGAGGTAGTCATAACCACTTTTGGTAGACCATTTGTTACAAATGAAGCAGTTTTGGAAGGTCAAATGAAGAAGGCAACCGGATTCCTTGGGTACTTCCTCTTGAATACTTCCACATTCAAAATCAGTTTCTGGGGTACCTGCCTGTCTTTCCTGTCTATGAATTCACATCCAGCAGAAAGGGAAAGCGGTTTGGAGAATTGGTTTGGTTCTAGTAGGTCTTAGAGTCTCAGTTGTAGATTCAGGATAAATGATTGGTTCAATCTAAATGCTTTAGAGGATCTGAAAGAGATTAGAGAAACTATTCCAAAGGATAAAGGCAGGACAGGAGGGAACCATTAATCTCATGGACATTCAATTCCCTAAGAACTTTTTTGGGAATGACCAGAAACAAGCCAGGCCATATGCTGTCCATTTGCAATCCTCTGAGCTGTGGACTTTTTTTTTTTTTTTTTTTTTTTTTGACAGAACCAGGCCAATGCCGTTGCCTCATTTGAGGTGGTTCTTAAACTTGAAAAGGAACTGAAAGGTTGAGACACACATGCAGAGTCAACACAGATGATTTGACGAAAGTAGTCCTGACAAACACCAGGGCTCTCCCAATTGTCAGAAACAGTCTCACAATGACACGTTCGAAGCTTCCCAGACTGTTTTGCATTTTGGTAAATAGGAACAATCAGGGAAGACATATTTATGCTGTGGAGAGTTCTGAGATGTAGAGAGAACAAGTTAATTGTTCAGCCTCAACTGAGACCTTTCACTCAAGTCATTAATCACAGAGCACAGTCTGGAGCGTTGGCCCCTCAGTAGGATTCTTCAGGCTGCTCTCCGGCTCCAGTTGAAGGCTGAGTCCAGGTGCTGGCCATTTGTGTTTCCCTCCAACTGGGCTGATTTATGAACCTGGAGATATTTTCTGGTTTTTCCAAATTCTGTTCCATTGCTTTGTAATAAGAGGGGGGCATGTGATTTCTGGGGTTTTTTCAGATTCTTAGTTTTAACATCCTTAATACCACAGATTTTTTCCAATTAGTCTGTTGCCTGCCTTCTGTGATCTACAGGGTAGAAATGCTATTCTGTGTTTTGAGTATCTAAGGTAAGACTTTAAAGAATCTCTTTTTTTCCCTTTGGCTGGAGTTGAAAATGCAAAAGTCCTGCATGGGGCTTTGTTCCTGTGATCCTGTGTTCAACATCTCAATGCAAATTAAGAGTTGGGAAACCTTAGTGACAACAGCTCTTCACAGGTGTCAAAGTTATTCCCATTCCACCTCAACACATATGGTTTGGTGTATAATATCAGGAGGCCTTTCACACTTGGGCCAGGTCTCCGGTGACAGTGTAAGCCAATATTGAAGACTTCACAAGCGAATCTGAGTGTCAAAGGAGGACACTGTAATATTGAGGCTGAACCAGGTGCTGCCTGCCGAGTGTTACCTGTTTAACTGCAAGTTAAGCCTGATCTGCGCTGATAAGGGGCAACAGATCCCTTGGGAGTTTTCCCAAGTGGCAGAAATGTGTCACAGGAAAGTAATTGGAAATTGATATTTGACATATCTCTGGGTTGCTCTTTATTCCTGATAACACCAAAGGGTTTGGCCAAGAGTCGCCAGTGACTAAAATGTGAAATCCTGTAGTCCTTTGCTGAAATACAATCTCCTCTTTGTTGAAAGTAAGCAGCTGCTTCCTGATCCTCTGCTTCCTAGCTAGCACTTCAAGTGCAGAGGCCTGTGGGCTTAATTTGGGTGAAATAAGTGGTGAATACAGCCAGTCCTGCCTCTTGATAGTTCTCTGAAACAAAATCATCACTGGCAATGCAGCACTCTCTTTAAAATTCAAATCAATTTAACGAGTATTTGTTCAGAGCTTGCTAGTGCTCTGTATTGTGTTGCATGCCATGGGACACACAAAATAAGTATCAAACATGGCCTTTGCCCTTGAGGAACTTATAGAGTCATAGGAAGGATGATGTGTTTATGAAACACATTTTACATAGCAAGATAAGGTATCATGTATGTGCCAAAGTGAGTGAAACCTGGAGTAAGTACAGCAGGGAGTCATAAAATTGGGAGTTGAATAGACTGGAGCTGTCAGGGAAAAGTTTATGGATGAGGTGGGGACAAAGACACCAATATTCCAAACCCAGAACTCTCCCTTAAAGAAATTGCAAGGAGCACAGTATCAGGTTACCAAGAGATTATGGAGCCCCCTTCGAGTGAAAGTAAATTTGTTCAATATGAGAATAGATTAATTCAGTTCAATAAATATTTATTGAGTACATGCTATGTGCCAACAAATGTATCTGATGAGGGAAAGGATGAATAATCCACACGTGGGTAGTTCTTGATGCCACCTTCTCTTAACATAGATACTTAAAGTTATTGCTGGTCTGTGTGATTGCAAAACCTGTAATTTTTACCACTGACCATTCTATTTCTTAAAAAAACCTCCTCAGGTTTGCTTCAGCCCCACATATACTAAAATTAGAATGATCCAGAGAAGATTAGCATGGCTCCTGTGCAAGGGTGACATGCAAATACTTGAAGTATTCCCTATTTTTTTTAAAAAAGAAAAAGCCTGCTTATCCAAGATATTTTTGGATTGAGGAACTGAGTCTAATTTTTTTGTGTAGTGAAGAAATGACATGTCCAATTTCATTAGTTATGTGTAGTATAAAGAGTCACATGCATGCTGGCTGTGAAGGGGAAGGGACACTGAGTTATGTTTGAATGTAATCCCAAATTATTGCGTTAAAGAGTGTTTGGAACAGCATTTGAAAAGTCTGAACATGGACCAAACTTAGGACCATAAACAGAACCCAGGCTTTCTGAAGATCAGATTTTTCTTGGAATTTTCATTATTCACCTTGACATCTGTTTTGGAAACCCAATTAAAAGGCTCTTCCATCATTAGATTTTGAAACAGTCTTACACTGGGCTTTTTGGCACCTATGAAGTTTGAAATTGGCACCACTCGAATATATTGGTCCAGTCACTAAAATTCTATCTATATTCCTCTTTGTAAAATGAGGAAATTCACTATTTGTTCACTTCTTAAGGTACAGGTGTAACTGGGTAATTGCAAATTGCTCTCAAAAGAGGTCAGTATAATAATGGTGGCAGTGATGGTTGTCATGGACATGGTAGTCATTATTTCAAAAAGCTACATGATTTTTGAATACTATAACCACAGAACACTAGCAAACTCTGGAAAGAATCTAAGATATCAAACATCGAGGCACCGAGGTGTCAGGGTTTATTTAGCTAAGCAATACCAGAAGAGGACTCAAAAATCTCCCTCTCTTGCTAGCAATCATTCTCATACCACAATGAGACTCCTGCTTACTAACCCTGGCATTTCTGCCACCCATGTGACTGCTTTTTGAAGCTAATTTAGGTATCAAATTTAAATGGAATTCTGAGAATACTTTTTTTTTTTTTAATCTGGAAGGACTGGAGGAAGGAAAAGCTAGAAGATATTTGAAATCAGTCTTGATTCCTGTCATCTTCCTTAATATTCCATCACTCTCTTCATCTCTAAGAGGTTTGTCTTGGCCTCCGAGGGTGGACACATACACATGGGCCCCATCACTCATCTGTATGCATGTGTATATATTGATACGCATTCCTCCTCATCATCTGTAGGCATTTTACAAATAATGGTTTGTGTGTGTGTGTGTGTTTTATCATCTTATTTTTTAAATGAAAATGACAACTTCAAAATTTTTTTGCAGAAATTATTCTTCTACAGTAAAGAATTCTAGTGTGTAGGCCAGGGTCATCTTCAGGTCACAAAATTCCATGAAGGAGTTAGCATGGGGAGGGTAGAGGCAGTGGCGTTATGTCCTTTCATTCTGGGGCAGATATTCAGTTAGTGGAGAATTAATTAAATAAAAGTATTACAAGGTTGAGAATACAAACAAAAAATTGGCAGGACATAGAAAAGACAAGGTGTGGATACCCTCCATCCTTCTTCCAATCAATTTTTCCTCTGTGAGGTCATTACTTGGCTGGAGGTGGGGTTGAGAGTATAAAAAGGGGCTTACACTTTTGAGTTGAAACTTGGTTTTGATGAAGCTGCCTCAGAAGCTTTCTTCTTGAATACAGTCATGGGGATTTTGCAGGGCCAGGGGGATCAGAGTGGGGCTCCGAAAAGAGGAGACAGACCATTCAGAACATGATCCAGGTTCTGTGTTAAAGGTAAGAAAGTACCACAGATTTCCATGGACCAAGGAGGCAAGTCAGCAGGATAAAAACCCGACCTAGGCTCCACACACCAGGCTATGTATCTGTAAGTGGATATACCCAGCATAGTGCCTTTTTCTAACTCACCCAAAGCACTATACAGAACAGCATACCGAGATGTGCAAATTTTAAGCTTACTTCTAGGTTGTCCATACCTACTTCTGTACCTAGTAAAAGAAGCAGAGGTTCGGAGCAGAAGTGTCTGAGAAAAGCACACTGAATGTGCTGTTGACTAGCTGAGTATGGACAGTGAGGAAACTCAGTGGCTCTTGGAGCCGGCTAGCTACAGAGACCTCCCTCACCAGTGGGAAGGGTTAAGTATAAAGGGCAAATGATCCACGATTTTACATTCTTGAAGAGGGAGTTACAAGTCTAGGGTGTGGCAACCCACATTTCCAGGTTTTCTTGCCTCTAATTTCCCTTTAGGAAGGCTACAAGCAAGCCTGGCCTTAGCAGTTCCTTCTTTCCTTGTCTATAAACTCCATCATAATTATTGTACAGATCCTTGTGTTTAGTGCCATGGGGGCATGAAGCCTCTGTTGACTTTGAGGAGCTTGGAGAACAAGAAAGGCAAACATGAGCATGCTAATGGGAGTGTGTTCAAAGCCTGTCTGACAATGGCTAGGGGACCTTGAAAAATCAGAGACTGCCATCACATATGGAGAGGTCCTCCCACCCTCAGTTTAGTGGCTGTTTCTTCTTACTGAAGAATGAGAACAGTAAATGGCCTAAAGCAAGCTAAGGGCAAATCCCTTGGCTTTATTCATTCTATGCCTGCAATTCTTGGTGGTAGCATTAGTAAAGGCTCTGGAAGTTCTCACAGGAGAAGTGCCAGAAATGAGGTGACTGAACATTCATTCGCTGGCTTTAAATAATTTCAGAAATAACATAATTTATGAAAACATGCAGAATCATAATCGTCAGCCAAGATGTCATTTTAACTTTAGGATATCCAGAAACAAAGGGATATTATATCCTTTGTTCTTGGAGCACCACAGATGCCAAATTATGCATAGGGTTCCCTCTTGGCCTTGAGTGCTTGTGAGCCTGGAGGCAACCGAACCTTGATTTCAGAAGGATGTTGCCTCTGGTGGTGTTCTCACCTGAATATCTCCCTGCAGCTATGGGAGAAAGCAAGGCCTGCCTAGCTCCCCTGCATTCTGATAGAGCAGGAGACAGCAAGAGGGGAGGCAGCCTTAGAAAAGGTTGGAGGCTTGGAGTAAAACTGTTTACAGCCTCCATCTAGGGAGCTTGACAAGAGTACCATTAAAGAGCTGAAGAAATAATTTATAACTTTTGGTTTTGTCTGCACATCAACATATGCCAACAGATGCTCAGTTCAAAACATGAATATTCAATTAATATAATATCAGGCATCTGGAACAAAGAGTAGTGGTGTTCAGGGGGTTGAGTAGGACTTAAATGTCACCCATTCTAACCACAGCTCTCTGGATGCACATAGTAGGCATTGAAAGTATTTGCTGATTAGATTTTCTTTGATTTGAGTAAGTTGGTTGCTTGGGTTCAAGACCACATGTTTGGCATCCAATGAGAGTTGTGTGCTCTGCACCCTGTCATCGGCCTCGCCACCTCAGAGATGGTTGGCGAAGGGCAGCATTCCTCCCTTTCCCATGGTGAGGTCTGTTCTCCCCTCTCTAGACTGATGCGTTCCAGCACACATGACTGTAGGGCACAGAACATGCTACATGCAGCCTATGGTGCTGGCTCGTTGCAGAAACTATCCTTCACTCTCTCATTTTCCCCGCTGTCATTATGGTTGTGTTTTATGACAGAGGGCATTGGCATGTTGGCTAATGGACCACAGCAGTGCTTGTGACAAGTACTTGAGTGGCCACTGGTCATTGCAAAAGTGTTGAGTAAAGGCCTATTAGTTCACATCACTGACCTGAAACTTGAGGAGGAAATATGAGAAGGCCCATGGTAAGGGAGAAAGAAGGTTAAAATGTGAGTGGGAATATGAGATATTTGTTAACTCCTATGGAACAGTAAGATGGGGTAGTTATAAACAAGGGCACCTCCTGGTTGCATTAGTGCTGGTGGCAAGCACAACAGAGGGAAAGGAATGGATGCATAGTACCCAAGGCCTCATTTCAGATCTGCCTCATATTCATTCCAGCATGTGGCTTTAATCTCAGGCCTCAGTTCCCTGCTCTGTAAAATAAAGTGAATGTCCCAGGAGATCCTTCAGTACTAATCTTCTATGTACGAATCTTTGTACTAATCCTTCAGTACTAATCTTCCTTGACATTTTGATCAGGAACTATGAGACCTTCATTTTTCCATAATTCAATGTCCCCCAAATACCTAAAACTTACTACTTTCACAGATAATCAAGTAGACTTCTAATGTCTATGGATCCTAGGAATGAAAAGTAGTGAAAGAAGGTATACACTGTGCCCTCTGCGTTGATCTTCAAATGTTGCCTCCTGCAGGATAGCAACATTTGAAGATCTGTGAAGATCCATTTTGGGTAAAATATAAAGATGTGTCATGGTTGGGAATTGAGTGCTCATTCAAAGTAAAACAGTAGAAAATTTTATCTTTCTTCATGGATTGTGTCCTTGATTCAGTTATTTATCTCAGAACCAAGAACATCTTGTTGTCCTTAAGTTGGTCCACACACTGCCTTGGTTCATACAGTGTGGGGATGGCAAACTGTGGTACCAGAGGACAATTGATGCCAGTGTTAAAGCTGATCATCTCTGAAGCCCATCCAAGAAATAGGGGCCATATTTTCATGAGTAGTTGTGAAACTAGAGAAAGGATAATTTATCTGTACTTGGGCCCAGCAAGTAGTGTAAGTAGAAGTTATAACCCTGTGTGACTGACAGATAAATTCACCATCCAGATAGTTTCCCTTCTCTTCAGAAAACATGGAGGTAGGTCCAGTAGGTTACCTATACAAACAATAAAGCAGAGAAATCATTAGAAACTTCACATTTTATAGCTTTCTGAGAGGTTTATAATAATTATTAACCAATTTGTTTAATCACCACAATCTTCCCATGAAGTCAGTATGATAACCCTGTATGACAAGGGGAAACTGAGGCTGTGTATTGATGGGGTTAACTGTTTCTCACAGGACATTTTCCATGGATCTGGAAGAGCTTCCATCCTGAAGATCTACCGAACCCTCTCTGTACAGTTGAATTTATTCTACAGATTAAGGCATTCCTGACTCTTGGCAGTCCTTTTTAAAATGAAGATACCCCTGGGAGAGAAGTCATATCAAGCATACTATCACTGTAATAATTATCTAAATGATTTTTAATAATCAATTTCATCTGACATAGTT